ATATTATCTAGCCTATTAATGCTTGTGAAGCGGCAGACGTCCTCATCCCTCTCGTTCGCACTTTCCTGTTTGTTTTTTATCGTGGACATTCCACATAGTTTGGATGCGCAATTCTGACAGGGCAGAATGAAAGTGTGCTTACTCAATTGCCTAGTAAGACTGTCACACACAGCCGGCCGTCATGCAATTGCTCTGGTTGGAAATATATATGTCATATCACAGACTCTTGCGATTAGCTAATCGGAATGTTTCAAATCGTGATTGCAATTCGATTTAGATTAATCGCACAGCCTTATTTCTTGCATTCATTTAGTGTCATGCGTGTTACCATGATGGTGTTTATTGTGTGAACGACATCATGTTAGTATGTTTCTCTGCTTGTGGAAAGGCTGTTTTAGATGAGCTGTTGTTCAATACGTGACTTTCTCAACACCACCTGCTTTTGGTGGTGTTTTTGTTAATGTATTACAAAGGTACACTGTGTAGATGTTAATACATGAAAATGTTGGTGTATTAACATTGTATAAGTTAATAAAATATGGTAGTTTACTGTGAAAGGGATAGTTCACTTAATAAAAGTCTATCATTACATCACAGGTTATTAGATTTCTTCACTTGTTATAGAAGAAAGAAACTCATAAAGGTTTGTAACCAACTGAGGGAGAGTAAATACATTTAAATTTTAGGTGAAACCTTTAATCAAAAACAAATTAAACAACACATTTCTAATGTTTTAGGGTGCACAACTTAATAGTTTTACGTTCAATCCACTTAAATTTGTAAAAAAAAAAAAAATTAAGTTAGTAAATAAACAATTCAGTTGTCATAAAGCTAGGCATGGGTACTGAAACTGTACTTTATCGGTACCGGTGCCGCATTATAAAAGAACAAAGTATCGATAAGCTCTGGCGTTAACGGTTCTGCTATATGTACTGGAGAATTATTGCTGAATAAGCATTAATTACAGGTGCATAATTTAACTGACCAACCTTATCTAATTTGCGATATTTGATATTCATCTACACAGTTGGCAATCTCACATGAGAAATGCTCGTGTTTCCGGCGAATGCGTCAAATATAAAAGCCTTTACAGTTCTTGGCTGTGCGTGCACTCAGTAGAGGCTCACGCTAAATGCACACACATGGCTCGCGACTTTCATAACACACTGCTTGTGCGCTTGCAAAGTGAACCAAATGGGTAATATTTCCTGAGTGGACAGCGACAATGCCCATTGCAACAAACGTAACAAGTTGTTTTCTTGTATAAGCGGAAACGCAAGCAATCTGGCTAAGTGGAAGTATCTTTCAAAACTGCAGAAAGACAAATGAATAGTTTTTGACTGCTAGCTACTAACAAGAACATTACATCATCCACATCGTTATGCCAGCAGTCAATCACCTAAATTGGTATAATATTAGCACTTTTAATAAACACACATTCGGTTACATTGAAAACAGTATTTTTTCTGCAGTAGCCTAAATAAATCTAAACATTAAAAATGCTTTTACATCAGCCGCATTTACAAATATAGCAAAAGAATAGCCTAATAATAAACTATGCTTAAGAAATTATAAAAAACAGCTTATTTTTTACATTGCAGGATGCTCCAAAACTGTATTTAAAACACAGTTAACTCCCAAAAAACGTTAACTAAATTAATTAGTTCATTCTGTTTATTTTTTTAAATAATTTTTTTACCAAAAGTACCGATAAGAGAACCGTTAAAGTAGAACGTGGTATCAATAAAAAAAGTAATACTGTTAAAACCCTAATGATACAAATCCATAAAACAATATAACATTTAAGTTGTTACCCCCCCCCCAAAAGAACTAAAGAATTGTGTTGGTTTAACTCACAGTTATTCAAAAAGTCGTATCTTAGCTAAACATCATCCTATCCTAACAAGCCATACATCGATGAAAATCACATTTATTCAGCTTTCATGTTTTCATGTCATGAACAAGTTTTAGTTTATGAGTTTCATTTTAAATCTCAAAAAACTGACACGACTGCTCTTAGGGTCTAAAGTAACATATGGAAGCAGCATATTTGGATGCAAAGAAAACGCCCTTCAAACCAACTAGCACTTTTCCTATGCACAATGGCTCCTGGAGGGAATGCCACAAATCCAAAGTAGATGCAGGTTTTCCACATTTGACTCAAGGTGAAGGCGCTCCGAGCCAATTCCTAAAGTACCAACATGGGAACGGCAGGAAGTCCTAATGAATTAAAGTGCCAACAGACAATGACTAATCACACCAGTCACATGACCTCATCATCTGGTGATGTCATCTTTCACGCATGCAACTGATAAACACTAGAGAGAACATAAACAATGCACCAATCCACATTGATGGACAATAAAAGGTGCTTTCTCATTGTTGACAGGAACAACTGAGAGAAACAGAAACATGACCACAGGAGATCGCCTATCGGTTTTTCATACAGTGTGTGTCACAAATAAGGGTGGGGTTCCTGAGTTGAGTGAAAATGCACAACAATTTCATGCAACACATTAGTCTCAAGTGTGAACACAAACAATAAGTGGAACGGCAAAAAGGAAAATGAGCTTACGGAGTTGTTTCATTGGAACATCTCTTATGTCTGTCTATTAAGTCTCGCCTACACTAAACCCAACAGTTCGATGAAAACTCTTACAATGCGTTCTTTGTGCATATTCACACTGTGTAAAAAGCACCTTGTCTAACCTACTTTCTTATCTCTTTCCCCAATGACAAGCGGTATGCAAAAATTTGGTTAGCGGAGGGTGCGGAGGGTTTGGGGCTGCCAGAAGTTAAGATGTCTTCACAATTATGGCTTTTCTTTTAGATGTTTTGACAACTGACATGGTAATCAGTCTAGAGTAAAGTGTCTGTGTATGCATGTCTGTAACTGTAGTTATACACTTGCATTGATATTTATCTGCAACATGATGATAAACTCATATAATACAACAATATGAGGGACTTAGACAGCACATCATTAAAATCCATCAGTTTAAAAAGCTGTAATATTGATTTGACACGTAACAGCACAAATACACACTCATGAGAAAGGTTATGCCTTTTTTAGGGATTCACATTTTGCTAGTTTTTACTAATGGAGGCTGTGCAGTGTGGCATTTAAAAAATACTAATATTTCTATTTATAAAAAACTAAATGTCATTTTATAAATTCTTAAAAATATTTTTTGTAAATATTACAAATATTATTCAAAAGGAAATGTTCAGATTTTGTTTAAAGATGACCAGGGAATTCATTTGTACTAAGTAATTGTACATCAATGTATGCTGACAAAGACAATTATTATGGCGACATGAGAACTTTTGCGATATTCCAATTCCATATCGCAATTCGTAACCTTTTAATTTAGTATGATTTGCTCATCCCCCAACGACGGTTTGGTTATGGGGTGGGGTGCATTAAAACTGGGGTGCATTGCGGCTGGAAGAGTATCCGGTGTGTTAAAACTTGCTGGATAAGTTGGCGGTTCATTACGCTGTAGCGATCCTGGATTAATAAAGGGATTAAGCCGACAAGAAAATGAATGAATGAATAAATTCATCAATAAGAACAAATTTTGTTATTTCAAAAGGCTGTTTTTTTTTACTAACATGCACTAACATTTCTTAACCAAACTAAACAATATTTTATTTGTTTAGAACATGTCAAACCAAAACAATCTCACAGCAATTTGTAACTTTTTGATTTAGTGGCTAATTCGCATAAATTGTCATTCAAACAATTTAGTAAGATTTGCTTATCCCCAATGAAGATTGGTTTTAGGGGTGGGGTCTGGTGCCACGCTTGTTAAAATCGTACATTTTCCTATGAATGAACTTGAATTAGACACTAAACTGACAAAACCTAAAATAGCTACATTTCTTTGTGAGATCAGGCTGGATATTCTGTTCAAGCGACATGTTTTCTTAATGAAAAAATTGTTTACGTTTACTTTCTTTGTGAATTGATTTTGTGAGATTTTATTGCAAATCACATCCATGCTGAAATTGCTCAGAATAAGTGTTGATCTGACCATTTTTGTTTTCCAGAACATTCTCTGTTGGTTAGTCAAAGTGTTTTTCTAACATAAAATGTTCCCTTTAAATAAGAAGTTCTCTTTCTATTTTACAGTCTCTGTTACATAAAAACCTAAAAAGAACCTTCTCAGTTGTAGCTTTCCAGATAAATAACCAAATAACTTAACAAGAAACTGCGGACTTCAGAAATTTGTTTAAAAACTCCACCCTCTAATCGTGAAATTAGACATTTATGACAAACATTTATGACAAGTTCTTACATTTTAGCCTTACATTACACATTTATTTTCTTGAACGGGTTTTGTTCACTAAGACATAATTCATTTAACGTTTTGGAAGTACATTTTTGTGCTTATTAGCGGTCTATTACATAGTCTTTCCCTAAATTTTTGTCTAATGTTTTAGTACAATTGCGTTTAGCAAATGACCTCATGAGCGTCGCGTTTCTAAGCGCAAGCGTCGCGTCCTGGATACTTTTGCCTGTTAGTTCTGAATGTGCACTATTTTGAGGACGTTTAAAGAAGAAAACGAAGTGAAGACAGGCATCAAACCACACTTGTTGAAACGCGAACCACATACAGCGTGTTTCATGAACCAGAAACGACTCGGGTGTGATTGTGCAATCGGACCGAAACCAACAGCAGCACATGAGAAACAGGATGTACGCTCAGGTTAATAAGAAACAAGAATGAAGACGTCGATGCCCTCCGATAACACTGCTTAATCCCTCAAAATACACATTTATGAACAAGCACTGAAACAGAAGCGACGGATGCCGAATGTCAACATGCAAACATTCAACACGTTCATTCAGCGACACGACAATGTTGACAAGCATTGATTCAATACCGTTCATACGTGAACTGGGGAAACCCTGGAGCTTACCAACTGTGTAGTTAATGGAAATCATGTTCCTACTGTAAAAGACTGAAGATGTACGACTACAGAGCATCGCTTACCTTTAAACTGCAAGGAGTGGCTTGATTTAATTCTCACAGTTCCTGATATGGATTCACCGGGGTTGTAGACCACTTTGTTGTTAGTGAAAGTAATCTCGAATTCCTGAACCTTCCCCATGTCTTCCAGAAGCGCCTCTCACGCACTCGCGGAGGATGAGAAAAAAAAATCGACGGCTAAACTACGGGTGAAAGCAGCGTCCAGTTTGACGTCCCACCTGCGGCTCTCAAGACTCCGCCCATTTGCGAGCGCTGACGTCATCGGGATGTCAGTCATTCTGCTCTTTACGGTTGTTTCAAGTAATCGTGACATAATGTTTTCTTTCTTTCTTTTTCTTTCTTTCTTTCTTTCTTTCTTTCTTTCTTTCTTTCTTTCTTTCTTTCTTTCTCATTATTATAAAATAGATTAATGTTTTGTAGTTCAATAAAAGTTCATTACTAGGAGTTACTATTTATGTTTTAAATATTCTGAAACCATGTGTCTGCACATTTCTGCAAAATTTTATTTAAGGCCTAATTGTTACAGGCCTAACAAATTAATATATGAACATATCAAATGTGGAAAAATACTTACATTTATATCGTAGTGTAATCTTACAATCTGTATTTGTTCATTTGTTTATAATAGATATTTAATTTCTACTACTGATAAACATTAAGATTTTGTTTTATGCTTTAAATATCTTATTGTAAAAATATCTCCTATGTCAGTGTTAATCAGTGTTTAAAAACTGTTTATATATATATATATATATATATATATATATATATATATATATATATATATATATATATATATATATGTGTGTGTGTGTGTGTGTGTGTGTGTGTGTATGTGTATGTGTATGTGTGTGTGTGTGTGTGTGTGTGTTTATAAACAGTGCTTAGCAAACATGAATACACCCCCCACAAATCTTTAATTTAAATAAACATTTTCTATAGGATGCTTTATAATATTATATTTCTGCATATACATTAGTTTAGTCAGTACTGAAATGCCAAATCTGGAGCTAATCTAAAAAAAAAGTAACTTACAATAATAATTGAAAATTTGTAGCCCAAATGTATGTTAGAGAAGAAAAAAAATATATTTTTTTGTTAAAATGTTGTAGATTATAATTATTACTTTTGTTTGCAATATTTTGCATAAATTTAAATGTATTATCTTTCCATTTCTAAAGATGTTCTCTGACTATAATATTATTTTAATAAATGTATCTGTTTATAAATCTGTTTTGTTTAAATGCAGCTATATATTACCCATATTCACTGAGAAATTGACAAAAATATTCATTTTCAAAATGGAATGCACTCATATATGCTGAGCACTGTATATATATAATATAATACATATATAATCCATTATTTAAACTTTTTACCTTTTCCTCAAACATTTCACAATTTCACAGACCTGTTTTTTTTTTCTTTTCTTTTCTTTTTGCTCCACACTGTATTTTCTTCATAGCCAAGCAGGAAAATCATTAGGAATCTACAGCTCCATCTGTCTGGCGACACAAGCATTGATAAAACTGAACAGAAATCTCTTCTGCCATTGTTCTGAGAATAATAAATTCATCTCATGATGGGAACTGCACACCTCTTATCTGCTGAAACTGTGATGATTTCCTCTTGTTCTGAAAGGTCTGCTTGTGGTTCACATTCAGTTAAGCCTTAATGGAAAAACATTTCAGTTTTATTAAAGTCATTTATGCATGGGCTTTAAAAAAATATGTCAAATTGGTATTTTTAAACTAAACTTCTGTGTTAAAATGTTTTAAACAAGAGAAACAAAAAAAGTTTTTTAAAAAGTTTTTTTTTATTATTATTATTATTATTTTTTAAATATATATAAAGATGTAGTTATCTTACTGGAAAGTATTTTACAGATAAACTGAACTTTGCTTTATAAACCAAATCCAGTAATTACAAATACTTGCCTATGACGCCCCCTTATGGACAGCTAAATGAATAGCAATCAAACAAATGGGCGTTCGTAAACAACTTTAAAATAGTTTTATTGTAATCAAGAGTTATAGAGCCTGTAACCACTCCCATAGGTTTTCAGCTTTCTTCAAAATATTTTATCTTGGGTTCAACAGAAAAAAAATCATAAAGATTTATAACCCCTTGAGGGTAAAAAGAATTAATAGTGAGTATATTTTCATTTTTGGTGATCTAGCCCTTTAACACAATGTAACATTTTCCTCATCTGCACAAATCTAATTTTCACTCAAAATCTTTTGCGAGAGTCGAGGAGAGCACCTAGCCAAAATAATAAAGTTAATTCTGCTACTGCCTACACTGTAAAACCCAAAAAGTTAAGGTGACTCAATTCATTCGAGGAAACCGATTGCTACAAACCATTAAGTACAAAAAAAACCGAATCAATATAAGTACTGTGAACTTACTTCATATAGGTTTATTTAATTAGATATTTGATTAACTTATTACCTTTTACACTGAGTTCAAAACTCTTTTGAAATGAGTAGAATTAACTTTCAGTCAATTTGGAGTTCACTACGCTCGATTCCTTTGATAAAGCCGACTGTTGGGTTTAACAGAATAGCACTATAATTAATAATGTTGCTAATCATTTAAAGTATGCAAGCTTAAATTTGCATTAATTCCAATAAAATTCAACATTTGATTATTTCTCTGCCTTCTCTTCTATCATGCATGTGCGAACTATTGCACAGGTCACAGCATATGGGTCACAGTTGGCAGCAGGACGGCGGTCCTCAAAGTAGCCACATTTATTCAAAGCGACCCGACAAGGGATGCGGATGCTGACCCTACGATTTGCAACACCTGCTGAGAATTC